ATTAACAATTTATCAGAATAAAAATCAAATACTATACTAATCTCGTAGTTTTATTAATAAATTCTTTGCTTCTATAGACGATAGTGAAAGCCTTTCCTATCCCATAGAAGTCCTTGGATTTTTTGTTTACACACGTTCGGGGCCCCTGTAGCCCGGGGCTAGCGAAGAGTGACATCTGGTGAGCAGAAAATCATTTGCCATCAATTTATAAGCATTTTTTTATAGGATTCGGGTGACAAACGAGCACACAGTCGACTTGATGGTAAGTGGTTGCTGCGGCCCATAGACCTCTATATCTATCCTCCATTCAACACAAATCCACAAATCAAAATGTAGATGCGTTATCACCCGTGAAGACCAAGATGGAATGCCTCATTTCCAGTAAAAAGGGCCCCCGGCCAACTGCACTCACCAAGCGAAACGCAGAGGTAAACCTCTACTTCACGCTGGTTTTCTGTGAGATCGTGGTACCACCCTGGTTCGAGCCGGCCCAACCGTGCGACAGCAAAAGCTGCCGCGTGCATTATTTATTCATTTCATAATCTAGTCTAGTTATATAAATAAGTTTCTTAATTTCTTATGAACATCTGAAGCAGTGTTTCCACTTTTAGGGACTTTTCCCTTTTTTAGGGAAAACTAAGTAATATTGTACATGACTACGGATTATTTAAATAAGACAGGAATTTAGGGAAATTCGGGGAAAAATCAAAACCTATGATGGTAGCCCTGTTGTACGAGGGCGGCACTGAAAATTTCGGGAATCAAGGAAGTGACACAACATTACTATTTGAAAATGTATTTATTGCTTTTCGAAGTATTCTCCGCGAAATTTGACACATTTTTCCATACGATGGAACCAATCATTGAAGCAACCATTCCATTCGGAAGTTGGGGTCTCCAAAATGGCCGTTTTGTAGGTGTCCACAGCTTCTTCAGGTGATGAAAATCTCTGTCCACGCAATTTATTCTTTATTTTAGGGAAAGTATAGAAATCATTAGGACTTAGGTCGGGGCTGTACGGCGGATGGTCTAATAATTCTATGGGTTCTTGCTCTAAAAACTCTTTTGTACTGTGTGCAGTGTGAGAACTCGCATTGTCGTGATGGAGGATGATGCAGCGGTTGCAGTTCTCTTTACGGAGTTCAGAAACGACCTGTGGCAAACAAATGCTAGCATACCATTCTGCATTAACCGTTCTTTGTCCCTCAAGAGGAATAGTCGTAACATGGCCGGTTTTGGAGACAAACGTGGCCACCATTTTTTTTGCAACACTCCGTGAACGAACAATTTTTGTTGGCTTTAACTCATTTTCGAACACCCAAACTCGTGACTGGTTTTTTGTTTCGGGTTCGTACGCGTATATCCAGGATTCGTCACCTGATACGATGTTGTATACAGCATTTGAGGATCCTGCGTAGAATCTTTCGAGAGTTCTGACGCACCAAGTAACGCGAGCCGCTTTTTGCTCTTCACAGAGCGAATGCGGTATCCATCGGGAAAACAACTTGTTTACACCTAATTGTTCATGCAAGATTATTTGTATTTGACTCATGCCAATGTCTAAAGTTGCCTAAATTTCGCGGTATGTCACATGCCGAACTTCCTCAATCAGCTTACGCACAGCATCAACGTTTTCTTGGGTGACTGCAGTTTTTGGACGACCTTGAAGGGGATTATCACTGAGCTTGACACGTCTACGTTGAAATTCAGCAAACCAGCGATAAATTGTGGTTTTGGATGGGGCTTCATCACCAAATGCAGAAATCATCTGGTCAACACACTGTTTTTGTGTTAAACCACTTCGAAAGTCATAATAAATCATCGCTCTTGAATTTTCTCGAGTCAATTCCATTTTCTCAACGACTAAACAAGTTTGACGAAACCTTGTGACAAGACCGAGAATCTTTTTTTAAATAAATAAATGGTATTCGATTTTTAAAACCAAGGAGTTTTCAATTAAAAAGATTTTAATATGACAGGAACAGTGGAAATATTCCATTCCCGATACTTTTAGTGCAGCCTATGTAGTATGTACAAACTCTATGGTGCCACCGCCCGCGGTTCATTTTTGAAAGTAGAATCCCCGTAATATTAATGAATATTATCCGTCAAATTTTAATTTGTCTTTAATAATATCAGTTCCGTAGTTTTAGATGTAGTCGGAACTTAGTCATATTATGTATACCTACCAAGGCTTGCTTGATTTGATTAGTTTTGTTTCATTTACATACTGCACTTCGAATTGCGCCTCGGAATACGAAAAATATTGATTTTTTCTTTTGGATTCAATTGTAAGTAATTTAAAAAGGAAGAAGATAATGAGACACCATCCTCTTCAAATTTAAATTCAGCAAGTAAAGAAAGAAAATACGTGCAAAGACATTTATTGGAATAAGGTTCTAAGCATGAAAGATCATCACGGTGATTTCATTTACGAAAATCTTGAAGTAGTTATTTCAGTTTTATTACCAGTTCCATCTTTATATAATGAGGGTAGAAAAATGTAAAAACAGATAAAATAAATAGACTTTCTAACGAAACTCTGAACGGCTTGTTTCGTACAAAGTTCGGAATGCAAGCAAACAATTGCTCAATTTTAAAACCCAACAGTGCCATGATAACTGCAGCAAAACATTAGAAAAGTAATGCTTCAGCTTCCTAAATCTTCTGTCTGATCTGGTTTTTGTTGATTGATCTTATGTTGATTTATTAATATATATTCAAAACTAGCAAACCCGGCGAACTCCGTTTCGCCACCAGGTGGCTTCGTTTTATGTAACTATTCGTTTGGTGATTAAAAGATGAAGAAAAATTTTATTTTTGTTTTATATTTGAAAAGGAAACATTTTATTTCATTTCACAACAGTAATGAATTCATTTCGATTACAAAAATGAAGTGTTATTTAGTTGAACTTCTCTAAGTAAATGAAAGTGAATCCAAAGTAATACTGAATCGAAGCGTTATTATACGTGTCCGAAAATTATCCGTTTCATTGAAGTGCTCTTTGGTAAACCACATTTTTTGTTTTCTGGTCTGACGTTAACACAAACAAAGCGGATGGTTTCCCAACTCGTGAACACGCAACGTATAACTGCCCATGTGAAAAACAATGGTTTTCTAAATTGATCCCGCAAACACTAAGCGATTGGCCTTGTGACTTGTTAATTGTCATTGCGAACGCAAGGCGAACTGGAAATTGCAATCGCTTGAATTCAAACGGAAGATCAGTCGGAATCATTGGTATTCGAGGAATACATACATTTTCACCTGCGTACTTTCCGTTAATAATGGTTGCCTCAATCAAATTCGGCATAAGTCTTTTCACCGAAAGTCGAGTACCGTTGCAAAGTCGCGGTGGATTCAAATTACGCAATATCATAATAACTGGACCAACTTTGAGTTGCAAGTTATGTGGTGGAAATCCTGGTAACTCCAGAGAGTTCAAAAACTCCGTTGGATAATTTACTACATCATCGGGATTTGTTATGGAATCAACGGATTTGTATGTCAACAAATTGCCAGCAATTTTTGATTGAATGGTGAAATTCAGTGCGTGTACATCATTATTCTTTGCGGCAAGAATTGCTCGTTGACTTAACCAAGCATAATTCTGATAATTATCACTAATGTTTGGGAAAAAATTTTCAATAAGAGCTAATTGAGAGTCTACAAATCGGCAAAAGTCGTTGGTAAGAGTAATTAATCCAGATGTTGCATCAACTGGGACTTTTCCATTTCCAACAGCTAACAATTGTTTCGAAAATTGTGCAGCACTTTGATCATTTTGAAGTTGAACTCTCATATTAGTGGTTAGCGATAATGTTTTTACGTTATTCCATAAATGTGATGCCTTCAGGCAAGCATTCAATTCATCTGCAGGCGTTCCACGGGGAATTACTGGCAACGTCTGCCTGAAATCGCCTGCCAACAATATCATCAAACCGCCAAAGATGTTGTTATTTCGCCGAAGATCCTTCAGTGTGAAGTTAAGTGCTTCAAGTGATTTCTTATGTGCCATTGTGCACTCATCCCAAACAATGAGCTTGCATTGCATCAACAATTTTCCCATTGCACTGGATCGGGAAATATTGCATGTTGGAGTATCAATTGTGTTTAAATTGAGTGGCAACTTAAGCGCAGAATGTGCAGTACGACCGCCATCTAGAAGAGTCGCCGCAATTCCAGATGATGCTAAGGCCAAAGCTATGTCACATCTTGATCGAATAGTGGCCAAAATCAATGAAATGACAAATGTTTTCCCTGTTCCTCCAGGTGCGTCCAGGAAGAATAGACCACCAGTATTATTGTCCACCGCTTGCATTAATGTTTCGTATCCTTTTTTTTGCTTGTCATTCAGCAACGGCACATTATTTCGAACGAATTCCTGCAATGTATCAACATTGTATTGCAGCTCTCTATTTAATTATTGGTTGAATGCATCGTGCATCGATCGATTTGGCGCAATCATTCCTACTTCAATCAGTAGCTTGTTTGCAATAGTCAAGCATTGATCCTCAATCAGAATCAATCCTTCATTGTAGATTTCATCGGTTATTTGGATGTCAGGATTATTCGTTTGAATGCGCAAGCGATGCAAGATATCTTCACATATGTCGTCTTTGTATTTGTTCCATAACTGAATTGGTTGTGAAGGAAAACATGTGGTGATGATAATTGCGAACAGAGTTCGTATTTGGTACGCATTTGATGAAACAACTGAATCCGCAAGTGTTAAATCCCAATGAGAATCGTTCTCCAGCAAACCCAATAGTTGACATGCTTCTCGATATGTTTGGCATTGGTGGCCATTCACAATTTTCAAATGCGCAAATGATTTTGGTCCACGTACATTTACCAACAGCAGTCGCAAATAAAAACATTCATCATTTCTAGGATGAACAGTATACATGCGACCTAGTGCATCAGTGGAAAACACCTGTGGCCAATCTGGAACTGGGGTTCCTTGTTTGCGACGTTGGAATTTCTTTGTTGATTGATTCTAAGTGTAATACTTGGGCATTTCAACGTACATCAGCGTCGCTGCGAATGGATCTGCTTCACACATTGCAAAGAAGCTAGTCAATGTTGTCGATGGTGGTCTCTCAGCTAGTTGTGCCGCATTAGCCTCAGTGAAGTAAACTCTTTGGCCATTTTCCAAATGCACTGCTAAATGTACAACTGTGGGATATCTTTCATGAATTTGAAATGACAATAATCGCCACAGTGCTTCATTAGTACTGACGTATCTGCCCATTTGGAAGTTGCTGATTTCGTCATTCGCATTTTCCGACGCAATACCAAACACAGCCATGTCGCTGCCTTTTGTGACGTACTTGCACAAATATTTGATTGATTTGGCCGAATGACAACTCTCAACGTTTGCATGTGTTTCGAAAATTCGTGATAGCAGCAGGCAATATGGTACAATGAATTCATTTCCGATCTCAATCTCTTGATTTTGAACTTTAACTTTGATAGTTCGACCATTATCTTCTTTTGAACGCCGACGATAAACTGGATATCCATCGTTCCCTGTGACTGTTTCAGTAACTAACGGTCGCGGATATCGTTTTGTGCACTTTCCATCAGCCATGCAAGGCGATAATGGATTTAAGGCACCGCACGGTCCGTGCACCATGTGTGTCGTCACAATGTCGTGTAGATGGGGATCAGTGACTGGATCAGGAATTTCAGCTGATATGATGTAATCCACTTCATTTGAATGTAATTTGTTCAGCAGCCAAATTAGGATATGAGCATGCGGTAGTCCACGCTTCTGCCATTCCACCGAGTACATATAACAACGTGTATCACCAAAAACTCGATACTTAGTAAGCACATCCATCATAACCTTGAGTTTTTGCTGAAATACTCTGGCGATTATGTCATGGCGATCTTGCGGTTTTTGGCCCGGTTCCAACTCACGTTCAATTTCCGTCCACTTCGGATTGCATGTGAACGTAATAAATAAATCCGGAGTTCCATAATTTCGCACGTACGTCATAGCGTCTTGAGCGTATTCGTGCATGTGGCGTGGGCTTCCGATATAAGATGATGGGAGAATCGTCAGACGTCCAATATTTTGAACATCACCATCTGAATGAATAGCATCACGCAAGTGTATATAGTCCTCAGATCGTAGCTTTGCCTGATTGAATCGGATGAACGCTAAACGTTCGGTCTCGACTTTGACATACATGTCGACAGCGAATTGCTGGAATAGCCGACGGCACTTCAGAATGACATTCTTCTCATGTGTACGAATCATCATACGATACGCATAGTAATTCATTGCGCTTAGATTTTTATTCGTTGATATGCCTGAAAATGCAAAATTAAATGAATTGTTAATGGAAACCAATAATAGCAATAATTAGTCTGTGAATATTGTACCTGTAATTGGATCGACCATCTTCAACGTAATTTCGTATCCGTCTTGCCCTTGCCAATAAATGATTGGATATTGTAACGCATCGTACAAACGATGTGTCTCGTTTACACGATGCATGATATTGCTTCTTCGCTGAACGACAATGTCTCGCGACTTAGTTGGATCGCCAACAATAATTGCAGCAACATCATTAACGGTGGGTGCATTGAATCTTCGCACATGTTCACCTGTTGGGGTACAATCAGCTCTTATGACAAATTTGTACGTATCCGATGGCATTCGTTCCAATGCTGTTTTGAACATATTAACCACAGCATTATTAGCGTGAAAAAATGCTTGCAACTGTTCAATAATTCGTCTCTTTAACTGTTGTGTTCCCTGTATATTGCACCGCACATTCAGCTGATCCACCATCGACGAAATGAAATATATTTGCAGAAATTGATGCGGTTCATCTGGTGTTGGCACCATTGAACCATGCAAATGATATATTTGTCCTTGTATCTGTAATTGCAAACAATCATTTGTTGAAGAATATGGTGTAACTTCTGATCGTGTGATGATGTAGTGTGTGGTGTATATGTAGTTGTTATGTGTTGCAATTCATTATGTTGGTGTGAGTGATTGGTTATGTGTGTTGTATCTTTTACCTTGCAAGTCGGCATGAAGCCGCCTTCTCGAATGATATTAGCTCCAAAGGAAGTCATGCGAAAGCAGTTATTGTATTCAAGGATGTGTTGAAGAAAATGGCTGGAATCGGGATCACTTCCATCGAACAATGGTTGCAGTGGCTGTGGTGGTGTAAGTAATGGATCCAGTTTGACTTTTCCACTTGCGCAGCACAATCCACCCGTTTCTCTTTTGAACTTTAACGCATTGCAATATCGGCATATAGTCGTCATTGGTCCAATATCTAAATTTTCATCATCACTGTAGTTCGCAGTGGGATCATATTGGAATGCCAAGCGATTGTATGATGCCAATGATCTTCGTGTGCTCACGCGTTGTCTCAATCGGGCATTTTCTCTTATTATATTTTGTCTTTCTTCGCTTAAGTTCTGTGAATACGCTTGTTGCTGGCTTGCATGTCTTGTGCGGCGGCCGATGTTCACACGTCGTCCTCTAGGCATCTTGGACTATGGACAGAGTGGTGAATTTAACCTCAAATGCACGATCCACATAATTTACACAGTTCAACTTACCACATTAAAGACAAATGCCTGCTGTTGAAATTGAATAAAAATTTGCACAATACACGTGATTGATTTGATGGTAAATGTTAGGAAACGAATAACTAATTTTTTTTACTTTTTTTTCACAATTTCACAGTGAACACAATACCGGTTTGTCACATGAAATACCCTTCAAAATCCGAAAAATCCATTTGGATTTCTGACTTGTCAGAAATATGATCCCCTCCAAAGAGTATATAATAAAGTAATTTAATTAATGGCCCCCTTAGAACAATAAATAAAGAGTATTCAGAACTTAGAGTACAAATAAGGAAGGTATAGAGCACGTGTATCGCTCAATGCCCATTATGCCAAGCGTAAAATTGACGCCTATGCGTTGTTATACTTAAGTTATTAATTTGATTATGTAAGTATTTGTAAATATTACGTAAGCGATAATTATAAGGTATGTTTTAGCTCAATAAAACATGTCTACGAATTTATGAAACGATGTTTATTAATCAAACACAAAAATCTAATTAATTTACTCTCCCGCTAAAAACCATATTATACAGGGTTAGTGGGAATTCGACAATTTCCTAGCATAGCATGATAAGAGAGTCAAAATGCTACAAATTAGGCTAGGTATGAGAACCGTCAATTTACTCTAAATCTCTAGGTCAGAATTAAATAAAATACACACAATAATTTGTAGGAAAATATTCCATTAACAATTGCTGTATTTGTTTAATGCTTACTAAATTAGTCAGTACAAAGATAAATATTTTTATTTATATTTATTATTGTACTCGTATCGGTATTTTTGCATAATATGTCCCGTTCGTACCTACTATCATATTTCGCTGTCGTGGACGTTGGACATCAATACAATTTTCTAGAAATAAAATTAGTTATTCATCTACCTTGTACGGTACACTGTGGAGGTGGGCAAAATGTATCATTTTTGGGATTGGAACATTTGCATCTTGATCACTGAAATATTCCGAAACACTGATATGTTTCATTTGGCTCATTTGTATCATCGACTCTAAAGATATAAAAGAAAGAATGTTCCGAATAAATATTAATATAAAATAATAATAATAATTATTATTTTATATTAATATTTATATTTGGATAAGAACTTAGTAATGACTCTAAGTTATATTTACCTTCATTTAAAAAAAAATTGTCTTTGGCCTGACCTACTATACTCTTTGGCTTGACCATAGGTCTGACTAATCTGTTTATGAAACTGTCAAAATTAATGTTATTAAAAAAAATAAAGTTGAAATTAAGTTAATATACGCGATAAAATCCGTAAAACGCACCGGCGCCATCTACTTAAAATATTGGTTTGTAGTACATGCTATGTATCAGAGATAGCGCTGTATGTGAAAAAAGATTTTCCCGCTTTTCTGTTGAAATTTTCCTGAATTTTCTTTGCTATAAACCTCACGGAGCCCAAGACCTTTCCAACGAATGCAAAACCGTGGAAATCGGTTCGTGCGTTCTGGAGTTATAGCGTCAGGAAGGAAAACCCGACTTATTTTTATATAGTAGATAATAAATTATTGATTAATTTCTCGAATAAAAATTTGCTCCTTAAAAATAAGAATTTTTAACTTTTTAAGATCGTTTAGGGAATTTTAGGGATAAATCCTAAAAAATATAAGGACAAAGGACAAACCAAAATTGTAAGTAGAAACTCTGATCTGAAGTTAATGTTGCTGCTAACTGTTACAACGCTCGCGGCACATAACACCGCCAGCTCCAAAAATTGATAAATAATACTGAAGATAAATACTTTTTTCTAATGTTAAACTAATTTGAAGGCATAAACATCATTATTTGATATCTATAAGACGCTATCGCGATATAAATGACATGTAGCGCCTTCTCGTGGTGGAAAGTCTCACTAATTTTAATGTGGTATTACAACATTTCATTTTTAATGGCATTTGCTACATTGCTCTGAAGCATACAGAATAAAATAGAATAGAATATTTTTTATATATTCAGAATAGATTAGAAATATTTTTTGTGAAAGTAAAAATTAACTTTTAAAACTGGTTTGAAGAAAAGCCTAGGAACTACAAGCAAGAAACCTAGCGTTACATTTTTACCTAGGTATACCACCTGAATCTATTAACACCCAATTTTTTTTAAATCGACTGAATATTAATGTGATTGTATAAAAACTTTTTCAATATAATTAATAGAATCAGTCGTTACTTTAAGGAAATCCATTATAATATAGTAGGCAGGTCTTTTTTAAAAGCTTTTTAAAAGCTTTATTATAAAAGCTTTTTCCTCAAATGTCTGTTTACAAACAAGTATAAAATATTCATAATTAAAATTAAATAATTATATATCAATTATAAGATTGTAAGTTATAGACTTTGTTGCTTAGTAACAAATTCAACCGAATTGCTAAATTTATTGTAGCAATAAGATTCTGACAACAACTTTTATAATTAAGACGATACTCTTCAAAACTCTTATCAAACAAACTAAGTACATAGAGTTATTGAAAATATTGTTCTGAACTCAATTTAAAATTAATTTAAAGACATTTATTTATGTTCGTAACTTTAAAACATATAATATTTAAATAACATAATAATAAAATAAAACTTAAATTATCACACACTTCTAGTCCCCGCGGTATAGTGCTAAGAACGCTGGCTGATTTTCCTCACTGAATGGCTATACTTAACCTTTGAGCGAGGAAACAATCAATACAGTTATCACTAGCGGCGTCGACACTTTCTCTAAAACTTCGTCACACGTGGACCTTACCATGTAAAAAGTTATATAAAATGTTACCATCAAAAACTATTACCGTATATACGTAGTACTTTTATTTATTCTGTGCTATTACAAAACCAAAATGCGATCTTGGAATGATTGCTCTGAAATATTATATTGTAACTCTGTGTAATCTGCCGACTTCCAAAAAGGAGACGGTACTCAATTCGACTGTATGTTTTTTTTTATGTGTGTTACCTCATAACTTTTTACTGGGTGAACCGATTTGGATGATTCTTTTTTTTTGTTTGAAAGCTGGTACTTCTCGTGTGTTTTCATATAAATTTAATCAAGGTCGGACCAATAGTTTTTGAGTTATTCTTAATAACTTATATGGAAGTCGGCTGTACAAAATTATTTATTTTAAATTATTTTACCGAAGTGGTAGTAATATCCTGATCGATGCACACAGTCCACCTGATGGTAAGTGGTTGCTGTGGCCCATAGACGTCTACATCTATCCTCGTTTGCGAATCAAAATGCAGATGCGTTGTCACCCGTCAGGACTAAGATGGAATGCCTCTTTTCTAGTCAAAAAGGGTCGCCGGTTTTCTACACTCACCACACGAAATACATCAGTGTTAAGCTGGTATTCTGTGAGAGCGTGGTCCTTTCCCGGTCGAGCCGACCCATTCGTGCTACAATTATACTACTAATATAGCTGCAGCACGGCTCTACCACGTTGAAAGTGAAGGTAAGTCTCTTACCATCACAGAACATATTAATATTATCTATGCTTGCCCTCACCGCAACACAATAATGAGGATTAACTGCTGTTGGGATATAAAATAGGTAAGAAGGTTCATATATACCAGTATTCAAATA